ATGTACATGCTTAAACTAATCATATCACCTCATAACCATACTCCAAGTTCTCGTTTCCCTGCTCTTCTTTTTCTGAAATTTTTTGGTAACCACTTTTTTTATTAATTAAAATTTAACCAATTTAACAGCAGAGCGAGACACTGAGATAATATTTTTTCTTTTTTTTTTTTTAAATTAAAATGTTCTCATTTGCTTACTTTATTTAACACATAAACTCTTTGCAGAAAGGACTGTCTTATTTACTGTATTCATAGATTGCACCATGCTTGTACATCCAGTAAGTATCAGAAATTATAATTTTTGTATACTGAATGCCCATCCAAAAAATAAATACTTGAGACTTTGCATCTCTTGAGAGGAGGGATAGGAAAAGCTATGTAGAAAGGGGGGGAAACTGTAGGTGGTTTTGTATCCCCACCATAAAATATACTCACATAAGAGATATGTATGTGTGTAGATATGTGTGACATAGTGAACTGAGCCAACATTTACACAAAAGCACATAGATGCATGGATACTGATAATCCCATGTAAATGAATTCAATTGCACATACGTACATGTTCTCCTAGGAACAAACATTCACCTGCATGCACAGAAACCAACCATCCAAATGTTTGCAAGAGGGAAAAAACAACCCTGAGACAGATTTGAAGAGATTGAAATGTGAATCTAATCCAGTCAACATGTTCACAAACACATTTTCTAAGAATTTTCTTCTGGTTCACCTGTGCCTTTTGTAGCTCTGGATATTTATGACTGTCTACGTGCTCAATGAACTATAGCTTCGGCAAATGTAATTGCACATGTGAAAATGATTCCTACTGGGACTCGCTGTACCTCATAGCTTCTGTAATGCTGCCACCCTTTACCCTTCTGTTAAGTGTCTCCCTGCATCTGGGACCTTTGTGCTTCCTCATCTTGTCATTTTGCAGATATCCACAGTGATACTGTCATCCATGACTGTCATCACCATCACTACATAAACAGTGGGAAAAAATGGATGTTCCAAATAGAATTATGTAATTTTGGGACAGTATTTGGTATTGTGTTCAGGAAGATGGGGAGAGTGATAATGGGCCAAGAAGATGGTAACAGGAAGAAATAAATTAAATACGTATGAAATAGCATTCTGTGTGGCAGAACTGGAGACTCTTGAAGAGCACATGCTGAATATGAACATGCTTCATGTTTAGCTCCCCATAGCCTATTTCCCAGCAGGACAATGGCAAAGCTAGGAAAGTGATTAGGTAACAGATGGCAGCAAAGACCATTTTCCACTGGTGGATGCAAAAGTATGGCTTTTGTACAGAAGAATTAATTTTGAATCAGAGATGACCACAAACATTACTTTTTTAATTCTTAGGTTTCACAGTGATCTATCCAAAATAATAATCCCAAGGCATTTGGAAGTCCCAAGAGCTAAGTCTTCTACTCAACAGAGAGCAGAAAAGATGGTGCTTTTATTGGACACAAGAAAAAAAATTTCTGAAGTGATCTTGGCAGAATTTGGAAGACACTTGTGAAAGACATTATCCCTCTCAGTTGATTTCTGAGAGATAAAGGAAAAGTTCATCTTAAAAGACCCTTCTTTTGTGCATATGGATAGAGATGTGCAACAAATGTATATATGATGCTACTTAAAATTTCACATTTGGTACAATATCTTTCTTCTTAAACCTCTTAGCTATGCAAAGGTCACAACTCTAACTAGCTGCAATTGCCTCTCTTGGTGAAGATCTGAACAGAGCAACCTGTCAGGACACGAGATCAAACAGAGTTGATTTTTCCAATCCATGTCTGGAAAAGAAGCATATTAGTGACTACAGGAAGAAAAGCTCTTTTACTGATTCATTCTGTGCTGCACCACTTCTGTACATGAATGAGTAACTGCAGTCTAAAGGGCAGTTTCTTTTATGCATGGCAATTACATTTAATATTACGCATAGTTTGGAGCAGACCAATTAGCATAACAACTGCCCACATCTTTCTCCGAGGAGAAGTGGACAGAGCGCTGTCTGCAGTATTGCTATGCATTGGTTCTTCAGTAAAACCTGATTTACCTTTAGTGTCTGTCACCAATCCACAAGTGCTGGGAAGAAGTCAGATTCAGATTAGTTAGAAAAAAAACTCCATCAATTTCACCTCAGCTACTCATCAGTAGACAGTCGGCAAGCAATACATACCCATAGACTATTCATGGGGCTTTCCACCTTTGTGGAAAAATCCTCATCCTCTGAGCATTTGCATTTAAAAATAAAACAGAGGACTAGCAATGAAAATAATACAGGCTGGAAGGGTCCATGGTGTATGGAGTTTTGCTTTGGCTACTATCAATGTGCTTAAATGGAAGGTAAGTGTGCAAGTGATCAAAACATTCAGACACTGAGTTAATAGCCATTCCTATTTGGAGACATCCAGGTATCAATACATACTGTGCTAGACTTTGCAAAAATTCTGTGCAGCACTACGGTATAGTAAACTTAAATTAAGCAAATGGAGCACAAACTTTTTCTCCTTACCTGACTGAAAAGTATCACTTGCACTATAATGAAGGCCTAAAAAATCCTAATGACATTAATTAATACACTCTCTTTCTAAGGACTTATCTTAAGACATATGACTGACTATCTCAAAATGTATACTGTTCTGCTCCACCTTTATTAAATGACCTCAGGCGTATATGTGTGAACTCTATAAACGTTTTGCAGTATTTCTTCATTTCAGTGTAGGGACAATAAATGGCATATAAAAGAATACTAATGCAGTGGAAATATCCATGTTACATAGCTCCTTCTTAAAAAGGATTACTTTTGTAATACTTAACACTGTTGGCAACTGTATACCTATCATAGGCTTAAAATTCCTGATGAGTGCGCAAAACCAGCCCTGCTTCCTAAGTGAAGAGTCTGTTGCAGTCAACCTTGTAAAGGAAACCTCTTAGTGTCAGTGATAATGAAAATACCTGCTACATATGACAGTGTTAAAATGGTGTCATGACCTGGCAATTTCTATTCAGTGCTGTCACATCCATGCACTGCACAGATCAGGATTGTCATCATGTAAATGTAATAGGATTCTTTATCCTGCATTGTTGCTCAGCTGGTAACAGTAATTCTAAGTTTCCTGTAAGTTGTGAATAGCAGCAGGGGGCCATGAATAGCGTGGAAACCTATATTTTTTCCATTTATTTTTTTTAAAATGCAAATTACACTAGTAAGTCAAAAAAATCACTTTTGTTAAAAATACATTCAGAATCAACAAATGCCAAAAAGAAAAGAAAAGAAAAAAAGACACATTTGGATTGTATCTCTTGCCCTCTGAATATTTTAGTTTATAACAAAAGCCCAGCCTAGAAAAATAACATTTTTTACTGGATTTTGAGGAGGATACAGCTGTACAAATCAAAAGTGCCATCCAGATATTCTCACATTACTGTGCTCTAAACTGCTTCCAGGAAGAGATCTGTCCACTAATCATTTAGTTGAGTGGTGGTGCTCTAACTGCAATTTAAGCAGGGTTATGAATACCAACTTCATATAGTAAGTATGTGTATATATATATGTATACTGTGTGTAAGCGAGTGTGTGTATCTACTCTATATGTAACATACGAATACACATTTATATTGCAATCTGTAGTAGTTTAGATGCGCTTCCTATTTCCTAAGCATTTTACAAACATTAACAATTCAGACCTCACAAAAAGCCTGTGAGGCACATATTATTCCCGTATTATAGATGGGAAGACTAAGACACAGAGAAACTAAGGCCAAAGTTTTCTAAATTAAAATCAGGCCTATAAACTACATGTAGACACTTCATTAAACTGTCTGACTTCTAAAATTGCTAACTAGCAGTAGCTGCTGTTCCATGGGAAATCACTGAGAGGTATGAAAAATTATCGCCTGAAAATTGGATTGCAGCTTAGGTGCCTAAACTGGTTTCTTTTCATGTTAAAAAGTGATTTTTATAGAAATATCATCTTGATTAACTGGTATACAGGGAAAGATAAAAGAACCTGTTATGCCATTTTCATTCCATTTAAACCTCTATATTATGTTTAATTCTATACATCTGCTATATTTAAAACTACATAAAAGCAGAAACATTTGAAATTTTTCAAGTTATGGGAAATTTCATCCTGGCACTTGGAAGTTGCATGGGGTTTCCAGGGGGTGAAAAGTAGCTCTATCCAGAATGAACTCAGAATTTCAGGTCTCCAAGTAGGAAAATTTAAATTTGAGATCCAAATCAGCAGTGAATGCTTTATGGGATCAGGCCTAGGGTACGTGCCTGTTTCACGCAGGAAATTCCCAGCAGTATCTGAGACAGGAGCCCTTGGTCCACTGCATCAGAATCTTCCTGGGTGATGCAGCCCCCAACAATAATTATTCCTATGTATTTTATATACATAGACATACACACACATTTACACACTTACATATATATCTATCTATCTATCTATATAAATCTCACTGAATTAATGTAAGCATAGCTCCTGAACATGTCCCATATCTTGCTTTCACTGTCCCTCTGTCATTGTCCAAAGTTGCTGCTCGTGACACTGTACATCCATGCAGACACAGCAAAGGACACTGGTTTGTACAGGGATGAGTGAGTGGTGTGAGCGCACAGGCCCTTGGAACAAGGCCTTGGCCAGCAAGGAAAAGGGAGTTGCTCAGGTGTACCTCAAGCTTTTCCAAGTGTTGACCTTTCCTCTTGCCCTCAAAACCTACGTGTGGTCACCTCAGGTGTGGCAGGTGCATGCGTTTGTCTATGCAAGGTCTGAGCAAAGAAACAATGACAATCTAAGTTTCTGAAAAACCTGAGCAAAGTATTGGGTTTTCCTAGTGAAAGCCACCTATGTTCTTGAAAATACAGATCAGATGTAGAATAAAACATATGTTCCTAGGAGTTCAGAGTATTTCATATACACATTGACCTACTAGCAAAATTCCCAAAGGCATCTTGTTGCCAACTACGTAACAGCACAGTTTTGGTTTTTTTTCAGCCACAATAATACAGGAAGATAAAATACACATTCTAACACAGAACAGATCCCCCAAATATACCACAAAAAGGTCCTCAATATTTCTTCAACTCAACTAGTCACTCCCCACCCTCTCCAACTGAAATCAAAAAATAAAATATGTGGATCCCTTATGGTGCAATTAGAAAAAAAAAAGCTCACTTACAGAGAAATTTTAGTTGAAATTAGATATAAAAGTGTAAATGTAGCTAGTACATATTCAGTTGGCCTTTGTTGATAGAAATCTGCAGATGTCTCTGTAGTTAGTAAAAGACATTTAGAGATAGCTACAAAAGCACCTACAGTGCGATAAATAAAACCAGTGGGATTAAGAAGCACTATTTCTGCTGCTTATTTCCAGTAGGTTCAATTATTAGTTTATGTTACCCCTTTCCCCACCCTGACCCCCAAAAGGTCTTATTTCTTTCTTTCTTTTTCTTTTTAATCATTATAAACTGTTTCTTGACCACTGTGGAGTCTCAAAAGTAAAGCACTTATCAGACAGCTGGCAGTTTTCTACTTGGTCGCTCTGGAGTCATGGAGCAACAGAGCCTTATTCCCTGACATGAAAACAAAGCAAAACCAAACAGAAGAAAATCACTGACTTAGAAATTGTTCAGAATTAACAGCAGCATGTTAACTTCAGAAAGCTTGCACGTAGTTTCTCTAATGTGCAATGCAGTTGGGTTAAGGCAAGTATGAACTGTACAGCCTTCAGGGCAAACAATGCGCTGTCTATTGACTTCTGCTGCAAGGTCATCCTGGTAATTCAGTGTTGTGTTGACTAAGGAGACTCGATGCGGCCAGGAGTGTAAAGGAGGCTCCAAAAGCACCGAGTTCATGTCTTAATCCAGATGGGTCACGCTGGCGGTGGCCAGGGTAGGGAAGAGACAAAAGATGGCACCAGTGCCTCTGCTCTGTCCCTCTGGTGCTGGGAGGCAGGAGGTCCAAGGTGGGGGTCTGGGGCATCTCCTTTAGTACCTGTTAGAAAGAGGGGCTGAAGGTCTCTTGTTTTCTGTCTCACTGTTCTATCAGCTTTTATATTTTTATTTCAGCAGAAAAATTGGATTTTTTTCTCTTTGAAGAATCAGGAGGCCATCCTGAAGCAGTGTTTTTGACAGTGGTCTTCCAGCCCACCTTGGGTAGTCCCCATGTTTACTTTGACCTAGAAGAAAGACAGAAAAAGAACAATACTTATAATCCACCATATACCTATCTGATCCCTGCCCTGTTGCTCTGGTGCCCCTTTGCAAGCAAGTGTAAGCAACAAACCAGTAACAGTTCAGCTACACATAGGATGAAGTGGACAGAAAGACAAAGTATTTGCTCAGGGAGCTGCTTGGCTCTCTCTGGAACACCATCAGAGAAGTCAGCACAGGTTTTCTAAACAATCCTAGATAGAAGTTATATTTAATTATAGTCTTAACTATATATCCACGGGTCAACTGGAAGATGACCTGACATAATCTGTCAGATATGTAGCTGTCTCTGTAAAAACAGGAAGTGACACAGTATTAGGACAGAAGGGCTGAATTGCAGGAGCGGGGGAAAGCCACCCTCGGCTCACTCGCAAAGCAGGGTGCATGTGCAAGTGCCACAGCCCTGTACACCTTAACAGTGTTGTCCTAAACTCATGTTTTGTGACTAAAGCTTTCAGTCTAAAATGGACAAGATGTTGTTTGTTCATAATCAAAGCTTAGCTAGTAGTTTATTTAAATGAAATGTTGTCCATGAAGTCTGAATCCCACAAACATGAGGACATCATTACCCAGCGGATTTCTGCTGCATGAACTTGCTGAGTGTCATGGTGGTTATACTTGAGCTGCTGGTCTTAGTGTCTTTTTTGTGTTTCATTTCTACTTTAAGTGAATGGTAAAGTAGGTAGCGCCTTCAGTATGTGCAATTATCTAGACAAATACCTATGTGTGTGTGTGTGCATGTGAATATATATATTGCAAATATTCTTAGACTTCACAATGGGAGGAAAGCAAGCTTTACTTTCGGGCTACACTACTTTTGAGCAATTTCTCCAGTGCATTAGGCATCAGCATCAGACACGCATGCTTTTTTTTTTGCTTCACTTCTTCTTTTCTTGAGCAAACAAGTTTACTGTGAAGAACATAAAGAAAGATCTCTCTCCCCTCCCTCCTTCCTACTGTTTTTAGAACAGTGATCATGCAGTGCAGTCTTGTTCCACAACTACAACTGTGTTTTTTCATGTGCAGCAGAATCAGTGTCAGGGAGTGTTTAGTCACCTTCCTCGATCACCTCCCAAGAGCAGAATTTTCTCTTGTCAATTGATTTCCGCCATCTTATTGTGTTCTTCTCCCATGGTCTGGAAATGAGCACTGGTATCTCCGGCACAGAATGCCAGGAAGCTGCTTTTGAGTACATCAGCTGTGGCCACACTGCAAGGAGGTGCATGAGCATCGGTTCTGTCCCATTCTGTTCAAAAAGCGTATTCGTTTTGAAGGGACTGTCTAGGCTTCTTGACTTGTACAGCATAGAGCACGCTGTTGGCACTTAAATAATAAAAAAACCCGATTTATAACAGATAGATAAATGTCACGATAAGAATTCTCCCCGAAAACATCAGTGTTTTATTTAAAACATAATTTTAAAATGAATATATTTTTCTCTTTAAAAAGTAAACTTATTTAAAATAAATATGAAATTGGAAGAGATGATAAGGAGAATTGTGATTGCAACTAAAAGCCTAAAATATAGAGAAAAAACCCCAAAGTGAGCCCAAATCTAATATTTCTAGAGTACTCAAGGAAATAGTAGCCAGAGATAGTCACCTCAATTCATTATCTACAGATAATGTTTCTTTTTCATAAATCAAGATTTTTTTCCTGTAAGTATCCTTTCATTCAGAGTAGTTTTGCATAACTGATGAAATTCCACACAAATATACTGTGTGCATTTAAACTGAATTGGAATGTTCCTATAAATAGAGCTTGATTGATATCACAAATAAAAAGTAATAAATCTTTGGACAAAAAAGTCCTGACACAATAGAAATGTAAACATAAGAAGCCTGAATAAATCAATATAATTATTTGCATGTGTGAGTTTGTGTAGGTTCAATATAACCTCCAAATTAACAAAATGAAGTGCTAACTTCAGCACACAGGACAAAACTGGTTACAAAACTGTGTGTCTTAATAGTTAGCAATTATTAAACCCAGCATTCCTTAGGATAATAATTAAATCGTTCATGTATAAGACGGTTAAAATTGATTTGGATGCAAAACTGTCTAACTTGAATAGAAATAAAAGTTCATGCTGATGGAATTCTGTCAATGCAATCCTCTAAATCAATTCACATCATCAAGCAGTACATAGATGATGACTGAGACCTACCACGCAATTCTGTATGTCTTTAAGATTTGTACTAGTTCTGTATATGAATTGATCTGGTAAATACATAAGGGCTTGTCTGTGCTATATTACTGAACTACATTTTGAAATTTGTATATTGACAGAATCTGTACATCATTAGAAGCTGATATTGTTTTGGTGAGCTCTTCAAAGCTGAGGCTATATCTTCTTCCCTTTTGCAGCGTGCCTAGCACACATATAGGTACTACCACAGTACAGAAAAAAAAATAGAATTGATATTGTGCCTTTGGATATAGTTAGTAGTCAGATGATTTAAAGGCAAGTGTCTCCTATGTCTCTCATAAATTCAGAGCTCCACATGAGTTGCATCCAGTGTGAGTCTAAATAGTAAAGGATGCAGAGGTAGCAACAAGCTATCTTTGCATTTTCTTGTTCTTTTGCAGGAATTAGATGGGATGATGCTTAATATATCTTCTGCTGCCTATGGATTAAAAGACATTTTTTAGCAATTGATAAAGTTGTGGAAATAGTTGTATGAATATTGCTATATGGATATGTAGGGGTATAGTTGTATGCTGGATGGATATGATTGCACCTTGGAAAGTGGTGAGAGTTCAGTAATGAACTCTGTAAAGCAGTAG